GTCCGGCAAACGAGGTGTTTGCGCGGGCGGATCGCGTTTGCGATAGTCTCCAGAGGTTGGGGAAGCCTCCCTCTGGCGGCAGTTCAAGCTTTTTGGCGCTGCATCGCCGCGTTCGTCATTTCGTGACGTGTCCGGCAAACCTGGGGTTCGCGCGATCGGATCGTGTTCGCGATAGTCTCCAGAGGTCGGTGAGGCCTCCCTCTGGCGGCAGTTCAAGCCATTTGGCGCTACGGCGCCCCCTTCGTGTGTTTCGCCGGGTGTCCGGCAAACCCCATGTTTGCGCGGTCGGATCGCGCTAATTTTTGAATGATCCTCTCATGAGGATGTCAGGAGTCGGCATCTCGACTCTCGTTCGCCTGGCGTGCGCGCTGTCAGAATCCCGCGCTCACGCGTCGAAGATTGTGTGTGGCTCGACCAATCATCGTGCCGGTGCTATTGCTGATCCACGCACCTAGTAAATCAAAAGAAAACTGCTTCCCTGGTCGGGCCTGGCATTTGGTGCCGAGAAAAGAACTGAAAATGTTTGTGGATCGCTGAAAATAACGCTTACGTGCTAAATGGGCCGCTGCCCGGCGACTGCTGTCGCATATCTTAACGCCGGACGGATAGGCTGAATAACTTTATTATAAAAAGACTATATACAACGGGAAAGGATTTCCCAACTCCGTCCTCGAAACGTTGGTAATCTTAAAAGTCTAATCCGGGGATGTCCCCCTTTCGTCGGCCGTATCGCCTTCTCCACTGGACCGGCTGGCGACGTCCTCCGCCTCCTCCTCCGGCTGCTCCCACGTCTGGCTCGGAATGGCGGTTATGATCACCGTTTCTGTAACGGTTGATCGGCTCGGCGCGTGCGGTTGCAAGGTTAGGTTCCCTCTCGTGGCATGCCACCTTGACGTGGTGAGAGGGCTCCCTGTACCAACGATCCACTGAGGCAGTACCTTTGGTCATGCCGAAGGGAGGGCTCGGTGGGGAGGTACAGGGTCTAGGAGCATGCCGTGCCCCCTCCTCTCGACTTGTCGAGACTCGGGGGCACAATAGGGTCCGGCGCCCCTGTCGGGGAACTTGTTCCCTGACTCTAAAGCGTCGGTAGGGGAAGGCGACCCTGACTACAAACGCCCGGTCGGCTGGGACCGAGAGGGAGGAGTTTCTACTCCTCCCACCGGCCTAGAGAAAGGAAAACCTCGATAAAAAACCACGGGGTTGGGGGGCTCCTCCTCGGCCGTTGCACGCCGGTGCTCCGGCAGGCTCGGGGGGGAGATTGGTTCCCTGGGGAAAGAGGTGGGATGGATGATCCCTTGCCTCCCTCTGGGCCGATGGCGGCCGTCGGATCTCTCGGGCAAATGGCCCGGTCCGGCGGTCGTCCGGCCTGGGGGGTTGCGGGGTTCTTCCCGTCCCACGTCACCCCACTCCCGGTGTTGGGCCATTCACCCATCGCACGCCGGTGATCCGGCAGGGTGGATGGTCCTGGGGTTTCTCCCTTCTTGGGGTGGGGTAGAGTCGGCCGTATCCTCGCGGTTGGGGGGTCAAAAGGCCTGCACCCCGTCATTCGACGGGAGCACGGCAGTCCGGGGAAACCTTGGCTGTTGGCGCTGCGGGTCTGGATCGCCCTTCCGCGGGGTTGCAAAGATCCCCTCTCCTAGGAGAAGGGATATCCGCCTTTCATCCGCCCAGTACGTGGTGCTGGGCTGGGTGGAGGGTAGGCCCGTACTAGGGGATTGCACACCAGGGACGTGGTCCCACGGTTCCCCTAGTGCGGAGGGTCGCCTGGGCCGCTCGAACATCTTTCGAGGTCGGGGCCAAGCGTCCTGGGTGGGAGACCCGTTGGGCCGCTCGGCCATATTCCGGGGTCGGGGCCAGCGGGTCTAGTCATCGGACGTAAGGGCCGGTGACGAGTGCGGAGTCTGTTGGGTCGGCGGTGGTGTGGGCGCTCCGTGTCCTTGCTCGTGCGTGGCGGGGACCGGGGGATCGAGCGTGCTCGGCCGGGGCTGGGATCGAGGTTTCTCGGCCGGCCGCCCCTCGTTGCGCACGGGTGGGGGTGGCGGGGTTCTCTCGTCGGCGTCGATCGGCGGACGGTGCCGCAGGGGTCGGGGGCGGTCTCTGGGGGTCCTTCGGGGCCTTCGGGGGGCGCTCTCGATACGGGTATGGCGAACCCGGGAATACCCGAGGGCTCGGGCAGGCTGGGCTCGGGCAGGCTGGGCTCGTGAGGTGGGTGATACCAACCAGCCTAGGGAAAGGACACCCCGAAAATAAACCAACGCAAAATCATGAAAATGAGTTTTGAAAGAGCTAAGTTTACCGGCCAAGGGGATTCGGACCCCCAGGACCCGGCGGATGAGAGATGCTCATCACAAGAGCACCGTCCCGGTCTCTCTCTGTCGTCATCACACGACGGGATACAATTTCAATTTCAGCTACCATCTGGGTTGAGGGCGAGCCTAGATGAAGGTGCAACCATCGCCCAGGGGAGCCAGTGCTCCTCTAGAAAGGGAAGTATAGAGCGCACAATCAAACCCGGCAGTAATGCCGGTCCAAAGTGCGCTAAAAAGAGCAGTCGACCGATCGATGGCGAGAGGACGGAGGACACATTGTTTGTCGTTCCCTCCTCAGTTGGGGAGAGATCAACCGCGGAGAGCCTCCCGAATGAGTCGCCACACCTCCTGCAAAGGACGGGTGTGGATGCGCTGGTACACGGGGCGGAACAGTCCGATGCCACGATGGAGGTGGTGTCCATCTCGGACGAGGACAGGGAGACGGACTTGTCGGCTACCGCGCAGCCCAAGAAGACCGTCAAACAAAAAAGGGACGAAGAAAAGGAGGAAAAAAGATCGAGACGCCTTCTAGACCCCTTAGCGCCCGCTCGGCTCTCCAGGAGCCAAAAGGCCAAAGAGCTGGAAAAGATGGAGGAACTCAGGGAGGCCCCAACTAAGGACCTCCCAAACAGGGTCCTGGAGGCGGTAAGAATGGTGGACAAGGGGTGCTCCACAGTCAAAACCCTCCGGGAAACAGACCAAAAGTGTTTAAACGAGGCGGCGGCGACCGTCACAGCCGCCATCAACCACCTGGTTACCAGGATGGGCTGCGAGGACTCCTACGCCAGAGACGCAAAGATAGAGGAACTTCGTGCCCAAGTGGCCGCCGTTAGGGAGGACAACGACAGGCTCCGTAAGCAGGTGGAGAAGCTGTCGTCTCGCTCCAGGGGGGTCAATATGGAAATAGAAATGGAGGAAGACCTCCCTATCCCACCCTCTCCAACAGGGGCAAGGGACAGAAAGAAGAAGAGGGCCAATGTCATCGGAGATACGTCCTCGGACGATGATGACGAAAATAGGAGGAAAAAAGCCAAGTCGGATCTGAAAAAACAAAAGCTCTTGGAAAAAGTAAGGAGGGAAGGCATGCCACCGGTGATGAGACCCCCGCTTGGCGGCAGGTCATTGGTCCTGGAAGAGGCTGTCCCATCGGGAGCTACGGCAATGGTGGCGCAGCCAATTGTGGCTGGCATCCCGCACACCGCGACGGAGCGGATTGAGCAGCGAGTTGGAAAACTCGAGGGTTTGATCACCTCGCTGGTGACGCAGCTAACGAGGGGACAACCCGTTGCCCCTGTTCATGCTGCGACGACGCTGGGGACTTCGAAGAACGCAGTATTGAACTGCGGCCCAGCTGGAGGCGGTAAACCCGTCTCCAAGCTGGAAAAGGGAAGCAAAGGTCCCAAGACGAGGCCCTCCTTCGCGGATGTAGCCGGAAGGAAAACGGCCTTGGCTGGGATCAAGCCCAAGCCCACTTTAACGGGACGTGGGGATGCTGAATCGACGAGCGGCAAAGGGGTCATAAGGGCCACTCAACCCCCCAAGAGACGGCGAAAAAGGCAGAGGCAAACGCCTGGAAGGCCGTCTCGAGGAGGAGGAAAAAGGGGGGACAGGCGACGCAGCCCATTCCCGGAAAGAGCAGTTAAAATAATTGATAGAAAATGATAGAAAATTTTGCCTTTCCTTTCCTATGGTGATTTTGAATCCTCTTTTTCAGAATATACTTAAGAAATTTCACATAGTTAGATTGTTTTGCAGATTATCATATCCTTTGTAAATATCTTATAATTTTCCTTGTTTTTCTATCTTTTTCATTTTATATAAAAATAGAAATTGTTGTTCTATGTAAATTTCGATGGAAACTCATAATATCAGAGTTGCTATTTCTATGTCAATCAATATTTCTTCTATATCATAATTTATATAGAATCAAATTCTTATCAATGTTATTCTTTACGAATAATTAGAATGCCTTGATACTCGTGTTATTAAATGTAACTCTAACTATTATCTGTATATTAATTAATATTTTTGTATCATAAGTACAGAAAAATATCTAAAAACTTATGTATGTTATTTTATCTTATTCTATACAAATAATTATAATGCATTAATACTTATGTTATCTAATGTAACTCTAACTATTATCTGTATATTAATTAATATTTTTGTATCATAAGTAGGAAAAATTTCTAAAAACTTATGTATGTTATTCTATCTTATTCTTTACAAAACTATGATATGTATGTTATTCTATCAAAAACTGATTATATGTTATTCTACCTTAGTCTATAAAACAATGACTGATCAGTACAATCTATATCGGTACTAATTAGTCATTGTTTTAGAAGAATAAGGTAGAATAACATATAATCAAAGTTTGATGATAGAATTGCATATAAATGTATAAAAAAGAATAAAGGAATAATTTTTGTATTAAAATTTTTTTATTTAAAATAAACTTTTCTTTATTATACGTATATATTGCATATAATGTTTAATGTATTAACATGTATAAACATGTACAAACACAAATATTTTATTATAATAAAAATTAACTGAAAATAGCTCCATAGAACGATTTAGAGTATTTATTGCAATATATTATAGTTTGTATTTAGATAATAATATAATTTTATTGAAAAATAATAATAATTTTATTTAGAAAAGTAATAGAGGATTTTTAATTTAAGTTCACTCAATATCATCCGCATTATCTTGACTGGAATCAGTAGTATCATGCGTTGAACTTTGCATGCTTTCCTTTCTTTCGTCCTCCTGTTCAGAAAATTTTGAACTTTCTTCATTTTCCTTATTATTATAATCTAATGATTCGTCATACACAGACTTTTCTTCCGACGTATTGTTGTCTGCTTGAGTCTTTAAGTGAGAACTAGACTCGCTGGAATTATTGTTTTCTGGTGTATTACGATCATTTCGATCATCAGGTTCAGTATTTTCAACATTAATTGGATCATCACATAGTTCCGCAGGATTAATCTCTTTCTTTTTTTTCTTTCGAGTTGGCAAGTTATTGAGTTCATAAATTTTGTGTGCGATATGAGTTCCGACTTGTTGTGCTTGAAAGTCTGCTGTTACTTCATCATGACCTTTCTCAGACATTGCATAATATTTAACAGCAGCTACAAACAAAAAGAAATACTTTGTAAATTACGATATACGCAATGAATTATTTAAATGTTGTAACAATTTACCCCTTATGGCTTGTAATTTTGTAGAATCTAGTGCTGGTCTAGGTGCAGTTTGTACTTTATTTTTATTTTTATTTGATGTAATACCAGTCACTGAACTTTCTTGAAGAGTTTTAATGCCAAAAACAGCGATAGCCAAATTTTTCACAAACTGTGG